TCCGAAAATTTCAAAAATTCCAAATATTCCAAACATTCCAAAATTCCAAAAATTCCAAAATTCCAAAAATTCCAACAATTCCAGAAATTCAGAAATTCCAAGAAATTCCAAGAACTTCCAAGAAATTCCAAAAATTCAAAAAATTCCAAGAATTCCAAGAATTCCAAGAATTCCAAGAATTCCAAAAATTCCAAAAAATCAAAAAAATCCAAAAATTCCAAAAAAATCCAACAATTCCAAAAATTCCAAAAATTCCAAAAATTCAGAAAATTCCAAAAATTCCAAAATTTCCAAAAATTCCAAAAATTCCAAAAGAAACCGGAAGAAGTTTTGGAATTTCGGAATTTCGCAATCCAAAACCTAGGTCTGTTTTTTTGGAATTTTTGGATTTTTTTGGAATTTTTGGAATTTTTCGAAGTTTTGCAAATTCTGGAACTCAAAAATAGTATGGCGCGTGCTGGACTTTTGAAAGTCTACAAGATTTCATGTGAAAGGTTGGTCCAGGGGGGTGGGCTAGCATATATATATATATATATATGCTGTATGTGTATATGTATGCGAACACACATGCATACAGTACATTAACATTACATTATACTGCGATGCAGCTACTCTGGGCCAGGGTGCATTACATTACGTTACATTACATGACATGACATGTCGCAGAACATACCATAGCAACACATGACACAACAAACGGTACTAACCATGCCATACCGTACCATACCACCATACCGTACTGTACCGTACGCACCATAACATACTAATCCTTACCGTGCCATGACAAAAGACAGCATAACAAAAACAGAAACAGCGTAACACGCCACATCATTACATGACATAACATAACATGGCATAGCCCAAGATTCCGTCCCAACCCTTCCATTCAATTCCACTGCATTGCATTGCACGACATTGCAATGTATTGCATTATATTGCATTACGTAGCAATGCACTGCACTACATTACATACACACATGCATAGATACATACATCCATGCATGCATGCACGCTTAACCAAACAGGTGTAAAGATTTGTTACACCCAAGATCAAGACCTTGAACCTAACATCCGAAGCAATCGGGCCCTAAATCCTATATTGTGCACGACTGCAAAAATCCTCTTTCCTGAACTCGATAAACCCCCATGCAAGACCCTTCTCGAGCCGTTGTCCATGCTACATGGGCCGCAACGCTACTAAAGTCAAACCCTTGAGGGAGGGACCTGGTCTCCGAGGTAATAGCGGATGGAAGCTTCGGCTTGCGTGCACAGCCGAGAAACTCTCCCTGCGGTGCGCGCTCGCTTGGTTGGAATGTCCGTGTCTGCATTCATAGCAATCTGATTTGTTCTAACACTTTGTTGGTCGTTGCGGTGGTAGGAGCGTGGTGGTTCTAGGTGTCGGACCCATTCTCCAAAATTATGTGATCTGTCCATATTGCATGTTCATTGGTACAGTTCGTTGCCTACTTTCATAAAACATAGCTGTTGTTGTTGTTGCTGCTGTTGCTGCTGCAGTTGCTGTTGCTGTTGCTGTTGCTGTCGCTGCTGCTGTTGCTGCTGTAGTTGTTGTTGATGATGCCTGCTGCTTGCGGCTGTGGCGCGAGGGGTGACAGTTAGTGAGGTGGTAATGCTGTTGTGGCTGCTGCTGTCGCTGCAGCTGCGGCTGCTGCTGCTTGTATGCTGCTGCCGATGACGGTGGTGTTGCTGCTGGTCCCGGTGCCGGTGCTGGTGCAATGCAGCTTTTACTGCTGCTGCTGCTGTAGGTTTATGTTGTAGTGGGGGTGGTTGTTGCTGTTGCTGCAGTTGCCGTTTTATGATGTCGCTGTTGGTGTTGCTGACCATTGTGTCCTTTCTAGTTTTTTTCGATCTCGTTCTTAAGTGTTGTATCTATTATTACTGTCGCTGCTGTTGGTCTGGCTCGCACTCTTGTTTCACGTGCAACGGCCCCGTCTTTGCAAATGCTTCTTGAACAATCGAACCCGACCGTGATCACAGGTGTTGCTGCTCGTGTTGCTTCGGCTATGATGAGACTGGTTTTCGCGGTGAGATTGGCACAGCTTTGCTTGAAATAAGCTGGAAGCGATACGATATAAAAAGCTTGTTGCTGGGTCAGGAAGATTTCATGCAGCGTACGTCTCCATGTCCCAGTTTTAAGGGTCGGGGATTTAGGGGTAAGCTTTTGTTGCAGCTCTCCCGAGATTTTTCCTCATTACATGATGACACGAGTGCCCTATGACGAACAGTTTCGGACTTAGCGTTTAGGGTGGCGGAACCGGAACCGTCAGAGGGCTGCTTCGGCGCATTGGAGGCATGGAGATGAAACCCTAGCTGACCCCGGTGAGAGATCATTTAGTGTTCGGCTTCTTCTTGATCATGAACGGGAAACTTCTTCAATACTTGATACAGTACACACTTGCTAGGTGCTGGTTCGCAGAACACGAAGAATCGGACGCTCGACAGTTGTACTTCATACCTTCATGAGTTGGGAGTGTTTCCCGTTAGCCGTACCCCCTAGCTCCTCAACCCGAAGACCCTTTAGACCCAAATCCTTTGCTAAACCAACCTGAAGCCCCAAACCCCAAACCTGAAACCACAAGACTCCTCAAACCTGGTTCGCTGGGCATCAGAGTCCATCCCGCTGTGTTATCTTCCTGGTAATCCCTCATCCTTGGTTGTGTGATATAAGGGTTCAAGAGAAGACCATGCTTAGGGTGTGTAAGGGTTTAGGAAAGATCGTGGACCCGAATGTGTTTGGACATGTCTGGCGCATGTTACGAACCCTTGGTACTTACTTTTGAAACTTTTGTAAACAGCTGCTCGGATATCCTAATCCCTAGAGTGGGTTCTGAAGCATGCAAGAAATGAGTGTCACAGGCTTCCGTTCTGCGAGTAGCACGGTTCAGTGTTTAGGGCCTGAAACCCTCTGAATGCGACACCCTAAAATTTCCTAAAATGCAACCTCCCACCTGTAGCCGAGCCGAAGTTGTGCGAGCAGCCACCTGAAGCGCAGTGCCGAGCATGTGAGGGGTTCGTGGGTCAAGGCTGGAGGCAGTGGGTCGGGCTTGGCTTTCAGGGTTTAGGCGATTTAAAGGAGAAGGTATGCAGCAGTCTCATGTTGTGAATCCTGGTGTACCGCTCTAGGACTGTCAAGCGGTTCAGGCCTCCTCCTAACTGCGACGACTATTATTATTATTATCACTACTACTACTACTACTACTACTACTACTACTGCTACTGCTACTCTGCTACTCTGCTACTCTGCTACTCTGCTACTCTGCTACTGCTGCTACTACTGCCACTACTGCGACTACTGCCACTACCACTGCTACTGCCACTGGCTACTCCTGCGGCTACGTCTACGGCTATGATTTCTATTTCTACTCCTACGGCTACGGCTGCTGTTACTCCTACTGCTGCTACGCACGAGCACGGTGATCTGATTTCACAATCCCGTCCCGTCCGCCAGGATCGACATCTAAGGCTTGAGCCAGGATCCTCAATTGCAAAACTGTTATCCTATCAACCTGGTAGCTTAAACATCCAAAAACATTAGAGGCGAACCTGTAACCCAACGACAGGCTGTGCTGCACAACTCCGGTAGGACTACGACTGAGCACTTAAGAACGACCCCACGACCCCTGAAGGAACTTGTTGGCATCCAAGGGCCAGCAGCCACTACGAATTCAAATCCCGATGGCCACATCTGCGATGTGGCAAGATGTGCATATGTGGCTCTGTAGAGCATGTATGATGCCAGTTCAGTCTTCGTGGGAGTTAAACGCTACAGGCCTTGGCACCGACTTTATGAACCAATTCCGTAGACTGTCCCAACTCTCCACCGCTCATCTAAGCTTCCTAGATCCTATCGACACGAACAGTCTTTTCGACACACCGGCACCAAAGGTCACGCCCATTTCAATCCTGGAGGTGACAGACCATCAATGTGGTACATAGATACGTAGATGTAATAGTTGTATATAACTATGTGTATATATATATATATATATATATCAGTATATATCTATTTATGTGTGTGTATAAATACAACAAATAGAACAAACATACGTATACATATAAGTATATAGTATATATTTACTTTTAAGTTAATATACATATGTATGTATGTATGTATGTATGTATATATGTATGTATGTATGTATGTATTTATGTATTTATGTATGTATATATCTGTATGTCCATACATATTCAGTCCCAGGTTTTTATATGCCTCGTGCCTGTCTTAGGCAACGTAGCACGAACAATGAACCTGATCTGAAGTGTTCTGCCTGGAAGCAGTCCCAAAACTGCAAATCCCAGCAGTGCGGACAGGCTGCTGAGACTACCTACATTCCGGCGCCGGCTGGCTGTGCATTTGTTTTGTGTCGCGGAGTAACAGAAGCACCGGACACCTGAAAGCAGGTTCAAGGTTGTCCAGGTTGGTTTATGCGCAGGGTTTTCAAGGCTTAGAGAACTTAGGCGCTCAGGCTACATCTTACTAATCTACGACCACCATGGTTGAACGGCTTGGCATTCGGGTCTGGGGTCTAATGTCGTACATCGTTCAAGAGGCAAAGAATATGCAGCTGTGGAAATGAGTTAGGCTTCTACATTGAAGCACGTTAACCCATGCAACCAAGCCCTCAAACCGGCGGAAGACTGCAAACTCAAAATTCTGCAGCTTCAGCCCGCACTCCGGATTCCCACTCCGCAAACCTTAAACTCCAAACCCCAATCTTGTACTGATCTTCATCTGCATCTGGGCAGGCCGAAGATCTGGACTGACTTGACTACATGCATCGTAGCAGCTGTTGTGCGTAGAGGGACAGCTGCTTGGTTGCCGGTTCCCGGTGCCAGTGGTGCTCCTCACAATCCTGGTGCTGGTGCAAGCTCAGTTCTTCATGGACTCAACACAAAACCCAGCCATCTCATCACCAACATCAACATCAACATCATCGTCAGCCACACTAGCGTCATCATCATCATCATCATCATCATCAGCATCCTCAGCAGCATCATGGTCAGCAACATCATCGTCAGCATCATCATCGTCAAAAATCAGCATCGGCATGTTCCTTCATACGGCGACCCACGTGGCTGTCTTCTTACATCTTCTCTTCCTATCTAAACCCCACGGCCTGAAACCTCAGCCCTTCAAGGCCGATAGACACCATTCAAGCTGAAAACTCACAAAACCACCTGAAGCGACCGCAGAACGACCGCAGAAACCCCTGGACCCTGGCAAACGAGCAATACCTAGGTTCCTAGTGGACCAGTCGCCAACACCCCAAAGCCCTGAACCCGGAACGGTCACAGCCAAGGAACACCACGAACCATGAAACCCAGAACCGAAACTCCGCAAAGCAAAGCCTCTCTTGCCTAAAGCCTTGCAGCGAAGGCCCTACTTAATCCCAAGTCGCAAGTTCTTGTGATCCTGGGAGCACTCTGCCCTTGCCCAGGTCTTGGCGGAAATACAGGCCTGGAGATTCTAGGGGGCTTATCGGGCGGAGGGTCTTAAGGGCTTTGGGGTTTAGGACTCAAGGGCCTAAGGGTTTACGACTTTAAGCATTGAATCTCGGACTTGGGGTCGGGGTTGAGGCTGTAGGCTGTAGGACTGCGGGGTTTAGGGCTTCCAGGAGTGGCTTCAAGTACTGCAGGACTTTAAGGTTTGAGTTAAAGGGTTGTGGCTCAGGAGTGAAGGGCGAACTGTTCAATCTGCTCCCTGGCGAGCTATGAGCGATCCTACGGTTTTGGCGGGCTTGAAGTGTCAAGGCTAGGGCTAAGGGCCGTCGGCTTCAAGAAAAAGGATGGACAAACAAGCTTCGAGATCTTTCGGAGGCTCTTGGAACCTTTCCTTGCTGACTCGGCTAGAACGCGGTGAGTCTTGCTATTGGGCCTGGGACTTGGAGCCGTAAATCCCAGATAATCTTAAGCTTTCCTGCTGCAAAGAAGCGGTGTTGATGGTGCACTTGTCCGTTCCGACGCAGTAGATACGACAGCCATTCTGAGAAGTGCTGCAATCCTGAGATGTGCTGCAGTCCTCCAAAGGATCTTTCTCATGGGCAGGGAGGCAATTGAGTTTTGGGGTCGTATTCACGGTTTGCCTACATCCTTAATTGTATTACATTCTTGTCGGTGACATTTCTCTTGACGGCGAGTACGTCGACACAGGTGCACGACGGTGGCAGGACGACAGCTTTCCTGTAGATGCATGATATGATGTACGCGCACACTTGAAGTTCTGTTTGCCGAGTTCCCCGATGTTCTAAAAAGGGGCTTACTCAACGAGTCGTAGCAGCATATCGTCGTATGTACTTCAGCCCCATATGTAGTGCAGCAGAAACAGAACTCCTTTGAAGCCATGGGGTGCACTGTTGGAGCACGTTGAAACTCGGAGAGTTTTGTTTGGCTTCGGATAGAGATCTCAAATTTCAGAACAGAGAAGGCCCAGCTTCCCAGATGCGCATCGTGTCCCAACCACCATTCATGTAGGCCTTCGGGCAGTGCAGCTTATGGCGTTTTGGGTACTCGGATGAAACCCTTCACCACAGCTCTTAAAGAAAGTCGACCATCGGATTTAAACGAGCTTCTTGCACTGCTACGAGATGTTCCCATCGTAGATCGCATGCTCAATGCCAAGAGACAGGGCTGATGTTCCATTGCGTGTCTTTCGAAGGCCATTGCAGTAGCACAGAATCCAGTAAAGTAATTAATCGCTCTATTCTGGGCAATGCAAGTATTCACGGCATCATCCCGAAAACCGTAGCCTCCAACAGTCTACATCCGCAACATGACGCGAATAGCTCAAAACCTACAACTAAACACCAAACTCACTTTGGACCCCTGCCCTTTTCCAAACTGATAGGCCCTGAACCTGAAAACAAAACAAAAGTGGATACAAGAGACTGAGGCCGTTGAGTGGAGGGAGGGGGTTCGATGCTTTATTTAGGAGATTAGGGATTAAGGATTACAGAACAGGAGTAACCTGGTCCCAGGAGTGCCGAAATCGGAAACCCTGGGCCCAGCTAGAATTGAGTGAGGGCTTCAAGGCGCTGAATGGCTTATTTATGTAGTCATGTAGCATCTCCCTGCCTCTTTACACCACATAGCACCTGCTCCACAACCCTGTCAACTTCGTGCAATGCTTTAGAGCTTCAAGTGTTCAGGGTATTGGATATGGGATATATGGGATTGCAGGTGGCGCGGTTTATATATCGGTCGTCGAGTAGGGCGTACCCTCCTTGGCCACGCCGACTGGGTTGTAGCCAGATGGGCAAGTCGAATACGACGACCAACCGGTGCCCGTTTTCTCCTGGCACAGCCCGAGCTTCGGTATTGGCATAGGCGAGGGCCCTATGATACTATCGCTGAGCTGACAGTTGTAGCAAATTGGCCAGGCCACCCTCGTCGTGCCCAGCTGCGTACCTCGTTTGCCAGGGCCATCCGAGAGAGGGGTGGGACCACTCGTCCTCAACAGAGCCCCGCAGAACACTACAAAGAACCATCGGCGTACCGAAGCAACCTTGAACAATCTGGGGATGCAAAGCCTGTTGTCAGAATCAACCCTCATCTGCACAACCCGGAGCACGACATCCCAAAAACATGGACTGCTAAACCTGAGTCCCAAGGCACAATTGAACTAACAAAACTTCTTACTTCCTTTACAGTTTCAAGGACCTCCTCTAATCCTCGAGCCCCGAAGCCCAGAAGTACCCCTATGACCGAGAGGTAACAAACCCCCGGATCCTGCAAAAACTAAAACAAACAAACCAACGGTACTCGGACCGCAATCCGCCCCGCAACATGGAGTAAACCCGGAGCCGTTTACCCCGCCAAACTAGCAAGACCAGCACGCCCCAACCCCAGAAACAATAAACCTGAAACCTCCCCGAGTAAGTCACAAACTCTCAACGCTACTGACCGCCAATGCCAAAACCCAATTGCTAATCCTTTGAACCGCTCCCAAATCGCAAATCACTGAACCCTCCCTAAACCAAGAGCACTCCGAGGCACTTATGTGCTTTACGCATGCGGCTCTGATCTTCACCGCTTTCCGAGGGCTCTTCGCTCGACCTTTCATAAGAAGCTCGTTAGGCCCACAGGATCAAGGCTTTGCTTAGGTTCAGGAGTCTAGGTTTATAGCGTTCAGCAGAAAGGTCAGGTTTAGGGAGTAAGATGATCATGCAGAAGTCATGAAGTGCTGCTTTCGCAACGTAATCGCGTCAGAACCGGATGTGGTACAGAGTGAAGAAACGGTGCTCGTGAGGCTGTTTCCGTAATTCGCGTCTCACAGCGTCAGCCTGTAGCAGCTTTAGCAGCTAGACTTCAGATGCGTTGTTGGGAGAGCCTTACCATGTACAGCGGGTGTAGGGCTTGTGGACGAGCTCCGCGAACACCACTTGCCAAAGTTTCTTTGTTGAAAGCTGATAGTTCTTGGGACAGTGGGGAGGGGGGAATTTGGGGTATTGGACGTGTCCTCTGAGCAAAACCTTAGTAAGTGAGGCTTATTAGTGTGAGCATCAGTTTTCCGTATGCTCCGAGCCCCCACGAGGGTAGGCATATGCCGTTTAGGGGCTTGGGGTTTAGGGTCCTGAAACCCTACACCATTAGAGAGGCTTGTCTGTGTACAGCGACTTGAGGGTTAAGGCCAGGCATGCCACGCCACTCCCCTAGAGAACTCGCAAGACATCGCAGTCTAACCTCTTGCAGAGTTCAAGCTGCAAGCTATACCGTCCACAATGGGAAGTACAAGGAATTTCGGCCTCATGATTTAGGATTGACGGTGTAGCTTCAGGGTTCACTCTAAAGGTGATGTTGCAAGATATTTCGGAGAAGGTCTTGGCTTGCTTCGTGTGCGCGTGGGTGTATTTAACAGTTCATGATGTGTGTTTGGGGGTGTCTCTTTGTGAGTCCCTGTGTGTGTGTGTGCCTGTGTGCGAGTGAGTGTGTTTGTGACTCTCTGTGTTTGTGTGTGTGTGTCAATGTGTCTGTGTGTGTCTCTGTGTCGGTGTGTGTCTATGTGTCTGTGTTTGTGTGTGTGTGTGTGTCTATGTGTCTGTCTGTCTCTGTCTCTGTCTCTGTCTCTGTCTCTGTCCCTGTCTCTGTCTCTGTCTCTGTCTCTGTCTGTCTGTCTGTCTGTCTGTCTGTATCGGTCGGTCTGTCTCTGTATCGGTCGGTCTGTCTGTATGACATACATCTGTGTGTACGTATTTTTTGTGTT